CGTAGATCATTCTCATAGAATCCCATATAAGCAACTTTATCTCGTATCATCAAATGTAAATTTTTGCTGATACAACTTTCATCACATGAATATTGACCAAGAATTCCATTGAATGTATAATTGTAACAATCAATCCAATATACCCAAACTTCAACAGTAAAACTACGATTCGAAAAATTAATAAATGCTGATGTTTCAACATATTGATTAATACCATTTAAAGATAATGCTTTATCAATATATCCATTAGTATAAAAAGGATTGTTTACCAGAAAACCAGGATAAGAATTATTTATATCATTACAATTATCATCAAATGACCATAAAATATCATATCGTTTATATTTTTCATTAGTTTTATTTGATGATGATTGTATAGCTATAATAGAATAATCCCGTATATAAACTATAGATATTAAAGAAATTACCACCATATTTTTTGTATACTAATAAAATTATCAACGTGATAATTGTAATTAAACAAAATATTAATAGTAATATAAAAATCCGAAGTGCTATTTTATTTATTTTCTTCCATTGAAACCTACAATAAAATGAAAAAAAAACAAACTAAACATAATCAATGTTCTTACTTAACATGTGTGAGAACAAGTATTTCAGATGAATTTGAAATAACATCCTTATAACAAAAAAAAATAAAATTAGTAGAAAAATTATTTTCCTTTTCATACTTCTGGAATTAAAAAATCTATTGGAGCAATAGACTGAGTAATATACTCCATTGATGTTGTTATGTACTTTTAATTGATTCACCTCTAAGAAAAAATATTATGTTGATACACTTTATTTTTCTCTTCCTCAGTCCACAGTGTTCGCTACAGATTGATTTTAATTTCGCCATAGAACGATATGGATGAATAAACATAATACTGAAAAAAAATAGTAATTAATTACTTAACGTTCTTATAAAAAAATTTCTAAAAGTTAATTTTAATTGCTTAATTATAAAATACATAGATTTACGTTCGATTAAAGTTGAGTATGGATGTTAATGTATATTGTGAATAACGTTTGTAAAATAAAATAAAATTTTCATTTATTATTGAATAAATAGTCATTCTATTGTATAGTCAAGTAAATTATAAAAGTCATTTTTTTTACTAATCTCATAAAGTAAAAGTTTGACTTTGATGATGTTATATTAGAAATTGATAGTGCTGACTAATATGTGTTTTATATATCATCTGTATACATGAAGGTCAATATCGATCGTGATTTTACCAGAGATGTTCGGGTGGTGATATTGAATATTAATTAACCAAGAATTTGATTATAAATTATCAACCGTCGATATCTCTCATTACAAAGAATTCTATTTCCTTTTTATTGTTTTATCAAAATGGTAGTAGATGTTACCTTTATCTACATTTATGCCTTTGCGTTATTTCTCTAAAAGGATCTTTTATTAACACGTGATGACAGTGCCTTAACTTAGAATGATAGTCTTTTGAGATTTTAATTCTGTAGAAATGTGATAATTATCTAATGATTGATTTATTGAAGTAAACTGAGAGTAGATGCTTTTTAGATCAAGTGAATTTATTTATTTTTTTGTGAATAAGAATAATAATAATATGATTTGAATGTTATGAAATCATTGTATAGTGTAATTATATTTTTATTTAATATTAATCAGTTCGTTTACATTATCGTAATTGTTATTATAGAGTGATTGACAATCGATCTATAAAATGGCAAATATGAAGATAAGTAAAATAATATGTATTAACTTACTACTTTTCTTTCTTGAAAATGACTAGTTTAATGTCATCGATAATACAAGCTTGTTGAATACTATCAGTCGGTTTGGACGGAGATCCTATATTGACTTCGATCCAGACTCGCAGATGGACAGTTCCCTTAGGAATAAGTACAGTTTCTGTTTGATAATAAAAACCAGACATGGCTTTATTTGTTTCTATGAATTTATCAAAAGTAAACATGAATATATAGAAGTTATGGTTTTTATACTTATTCCACCGCATACTGGTCCACTAAAGTATTCATCGAAACATCGTACGTCGATTAAAGCTCTATCATTGCTTCGATTATGTATCACACAACCCATAAGGGCAGAAAGATTGAAATAAGCAATTTCGTTATTGATTAATAATAAATACTGAGTTTCAGAGATGTACTGATACATAACACCTGTGCTATTCTTATAAAAAGAACAATTACCGATAATTTGTTCCGATAAACTCAAGTTTAAATGATTTTTATTATAAAAATAGAGACTTTGATTCGGTGTGAACACCAGCCAATCCTTAAGTTTGTTATTGACACACTGAAACAATAGAAAATCAAGTTGTATAATTTAATGATGATAATAAACTTACTCTTTTTTCAGCTCCACCATCGACAATTAATTGAGTATTGTTTACTACAGAAAAAGAACCATTAGGATATCGAGTATTTAAAAAAGTATGTGTGGTAGCTGATATATCTTTACGAGTCAGACCACTGTTTAAAAGATCTGCATTGGTAAAATCAGCAGATACCGGTTTGATCCCAAAAAATTTTACATTGATAAGAATAGCATGAAAAAACTTTACTTTATATACATTACTTCCATCAAATATAGCATCAGTCAAATTAGCTTTGTGGAATCTCACGCCCTCCATGAGTGATCCGATGAACTTTGCTCCAACTATACTAGCATTTTCAAATACGGCGTAATTAAGATCACATCTTTCGAAGACGATATTCGAAGCGAGAACAGAATTCAAATAAATATTACGCAGGTCACAATTCATAGAATTCGATCGGATGAAATGAGCATCGGTTAAATCAGCTCCTTTCAAAATGACACGTTGACTCTCTGGCTTATCTCTTCGAATTAATTCATAATTGTATAGAAACAAAATAACATCGCGTTTTTGAATTTTACTCAGATGTCGTAGAACATCTATTGTTTTAAATCCTATATAATTCAATTGTTGCCGATTGGATCGATTAAAAGAAGGTTTAAGAAGCAATTTTGAAATCTCTTTGATGTATGCATCGTACATAACCTGTTGACGAAGTTCAATTGCTTGACGTCGATCTTGTTCACGATTTGCAATAGAAATTGAGTTTTGTTGTACTGTAAAAACGATAGTAAAGACACCGAGTACAAGTGGAAGGCAAGCCGAAAGAAGAACACGACTCCAACTCAAACAAGCACTTGGTTTTGATGAAGATGCTGTTGTATTAAGCATTTTAAACACTTTTCTGATGTATACTAAGGTACTATTGAGTTTCTAGAATACATTTTATTACATACAGTTTTAGCGTATTTAATTAAAAAAAAGCCTTTTGGAATTCATATCTACTCTAGAGGTGCTAGCTATGACCAAAATATAAGCTTAAACGGAGGGAATGATTTAAAAAACAACTGAATCAGATATGTAATATGCCTGAAATGAGCGTTCAGAATATTGACGATATGCTATCTTTCATACTGTTATATTTGTTCAGAAAGATGACTATATAATGTTAAATTATATTACATGATATATCAATGTCAATTTAGTTTAATTCACTAACAAATTATCACAGAAACTACGTCAATATACATGTATTGACGTCAAATAATATAGTATATATTTGCTCTTCGTGAGAATTCAATAGTTGCTTGCATTGCTGACTTTTCAAAAAATGTTTCTTTTTGTATTTATTGAAAAAATAATAGACAGCAAATATAGAATGACAGTTACAAACGTAGGCGAAGTTGGTGCCATATTCGTTTAGGAAAGTGTTCTAATCATTGTTCCAAGTAAAAACTCAATAAACTCGAATGAATGGTATTTTTTTATTTGAAACTGAATTTTGACAAAAAAAGAAGGGCCTCTTTCGGCAAGCACTTGCAGATTTTGTTGGTATTAATAAAACATTTTATTAATATATATATA